GGAATGAGTAGTAGTGACAGCAGTAGCATGCAAACTTTGTATCTGCTATTTTATAGGGCTCTTGAGTATTATTTAGAGACATTTATATTAGTAGCATAGTAGCAGCAGCACTATTGACTATTCAGACGGTGAAAACCTTATTGCACTCGAGCAATTGATTAAATATTTCCTTACACTTCTGTTACTCGAACAGTTTCAACAGGCTTGTTTCACTACAGCTATTGGTCAAGTCCAAGTCCATGCCTGTAATCTTCCGTAAATGTCCACTGACTTGCACAATGACAACCCAAAGTCGGAAGTAAACCCTCACTTTTGAAAAGAAATTAAGTAGAACTTTGACGGTAACGTAAAGAAAAGAGATATACAGATTACCTTTTCTTGATTTAAAATAATGCAAGCATCAATTGTACACCTCCTTGTAGAGAGCCTCACAGAATAAGTGTACAAAAATAAGAACTCATCAAGCAAACACAGCTTGAGATTGCAAATTCACCAAACTTAAGTGATTGGTAGTTTCTGCTAAGCTAGAACTTAAACTGGGTAGCAGTTTGAATTGCTCTTATTTATGCAAAAATGCATGCTATGCATTCCAGAGTTCTTGGTAATTTGAGCCTTAAAGAATTCAGTGATGACCCAAAGAATTTCATTAACAATATCTAGACCTTTCTTCATAAATTTCCTAGGGCTGGTGTTGGAGGTCTGCATGTAATCAATCTAACTAACTCATGGTTTATCAGTAAACAATCCCTGTAATTTTTCAGATTTTAGACTTTTAGTTATCCATTAACAAATTCCTATTATTTTTTTTAGACTTTTAGTTATCCATCAACAAATTCCTATTATTTGTTTTAGACTTTTAGTTATCGATTAACAACTTATCACAGGAAAAGTGCATTTTCTCTGTATATTTTCTGGGACAATATGGATTGTTTTGGCAATCAAGAAAGTGTAGTCGCGATGAAGACTTACGTATCTTTTGATACAACAACTCTTTAGAGTTTCTCATTGCCTAACTTCAGATGTCAATGCATGTAAAATAACAAGATCCCTAAGTTTGCTCCTTTCTTCCATCATATCCCCCTCCCATTTCTTAAAGAAGCACCCATTTGTGTTTTTTCCTTCAAACTACATACAATGTCAAATTCCATTATTAGGAATGGATTTTGCTTTTCTTGTTTAATACTTTTGGAACCACACATGCTACTTATATCTATGGAACCACACAAGTCAAAAATGGTTAATTTTCCAAGAGCTCTCTGGATGTACAAATCATAATGTTCTCTGGATTTGTCTCCTTATGTTGCAGTTACTAGGCATGTGTTTCCATGATGTAGAAATTCCACTTGTTTAAGTGCATCACATCCAAGCATTATGTTAGATAGCACTTTGAAGAAGCATGAATAACAATTGACAAGTCAAAAATGGTTAATTTTAAGAGCTCTCTGGATGTTGCATTGATTGACTCCCTAAATTAAAAGGATGGTCATTCTTTACTTTTACTCTAGCCATTCTTGTTTCTTTTGGGTGTGTAAAGTCAATCGATTATAGTTTGATGCCAAATTCGACGCAATACTAATGACATACTTTTTTATTCATGGTTCAGGAGAGGAACTTCCTACTGAAAACACTAGGAATGGACTCCACATCTCCAATCCCAAGCACCATCCCTTCACAAGGTCCACCCTGCAAAAGGGCGCTTCTGCATAGTCTATGACCTACATTACTTATATATCTCACATACAGAATTCTGTAGGTATCATCTGCAGAGTTTTTACATAAGTTCTCATCATCTGTAGAGTTTTCACATAAGTTCTCATCATCTGTAGAGTTTTCACCTTGTCCTTTGAAGTTCTTTTCTTCAGATAGCAGTTATGCTAGCCTGAGTTTTCCTATAGAGGCCAACAAAGATCTGCCCTTCAACCTAGAATCTCATGGTGCATTCTAGTACTCCTTGACAGGTCTAACATTATGATCTGCATTCTTTACAGTGACCAGCCATAATACTCACTTTGATGTCCAGTGTGTGTGTGTTTTTTTGTTGTGTCTAATTCCTTCGTCTCTTCTTGTGGGTTTCGGATAAGGATTCTGTTCTCCCATAAATTTTTGGTCTTGATTTGGGGTTTTGTACAGGAGCTGGAGTACAACTCCCTACCTTTCAGTGTAATTATACATTGGCACCTCGCCAATATTCTCCTTGCAGAAAAGATTGAAATGAAGGGAGAAAAAAGGGAAAATGAGGGAGTAGAGGAGGATCATCCAGTTGCATTGGAGTCCTGAATGTTTTTTCTAGGTGTGCATAGTATAGAATAAGTTTGTCCTAGTGTTTCTTGTTTTATCTCGAGTTTTTTCTGCAATGTAACTCATAATTATTGGGGTGGAGTATTTGATGTGGTTCGTGTGCACCCATCTGCTTATTCACTATTTACTTGCCTGACATGGATGCCGCGAACAAATCCAGATAAACAGACACAAGGATCAAAATTTTGTTTCGGTGCATAGTTTTCGGTGAGATTGAAAATGAAAACGTTTTGGTAATATTTCGGAAACAAGATGGAAACAAAAAAAAAAATTAAAATTTATTTTCAAAACATACCGAAACATTCTAAAACATAGGTCGAAACATGTCAAAACACTTCGAAAGCTATCGAAACATAGAAATTTTGAAATTCAATCAATGATTCGTTTCGATTTCTACGAAAAAGGAAATATTTCGAACGTTTCGAAACAAAATTTAGCTACTTGCACAGATATAGTAAATTAAGGAAACAGATATAGTAAATTAAGGAAACGGGAGATATCAGAAATAGACTTGAAAATATATGAAGAAATGCAAGTGTTGAATAACATTTGAAGTATAAAGATGGAACTTGCAGACAAGTGGGATAGTTATGCATTACTTACAGGGATAAAAGAGCTGTGTGTTTTGTTTGGCTGTGATAAGGGAAGCTTCCCTCCCTCTGTTTGCCTTTGAGACTTCTAAGAAGGGCTGCATTGTGGGAGAAGACGAGGGGTCTGAGAAACCTGTTGTTTTAAATTGGTCTGACGACGGTGGAGGACAAGTGTGATAATGACCAAAGCAAAAGCTATTGGTGAAACAAGGAGGGAAACTCTTTACAAAATAAAGTTTGCATGCCCTGGCAGTCACTTTTCCCTCCATGTTCAGCCTGTCAATTTAAAAAAGACAGTCCATTGTATGCAAAATTCCGTTAATCTAGAATGGATTAAATTTATGTAACTTTACTCCACATACAAAAAGATTGCTTATGTGTGGTTTGAATCCATGATGCAAAGTCACAATAGAACTACTTTTCATCACCTTGGTCTGCAATTACCAATATCAATTGTTGGAGAAAATATTCATTACAGCGGTGATACCATGTTATCGGTGTCATATGGTATTACTAACTAATAAGAATACATCATATAGAATAAGTGGGTCCCGTTATTTTAATAACTTCCAATAACCACTCTATTGACTCACTAATACATTGTAATAATGAGGTTTACTTATTCTATATAGTGCATTCTTATTAGTTGGTGATATCATATGACGTTGATGGCTTGTTATCACCGTTGTAATGGATGTTTTTTCCGGTTGTTGGGACCTAGGGCTAAATTTTTAACTGAGTTATCTTATGGTGCCCACGACCATGGCCCAACCACTCACCCTAATCATGAAGATAACTTTAACCAAGTGTAAGAATTTTACATTGGTCCCATGACAGCATGCCTAGCAAATTATGGAGTTTGTGGGATGAATTTATAGAGCAGCAAATGAAGCATCATAAAATTTTCAGGGTTACAATGTGAGGATTGAATATCTGCATTAATTTCAAGCAGCTCTTGAGGTTCTGTGTTGCCTGTGTGTCTGTGCAAATGATTTTCAAGCCAATATGAATAATCCTCTTATCGAATTCTTGCTTAAGTATACGTCAATAGTTCCTTGAAATACCGTATAATAGATTATAGGGTAATTTGGTCACAAGTCCACACCAAATTGAGGAGAAAAGGACAACTATTTAAAGACACATTTATCTTTACTATTTAACCCTTACTCTGAAATACCATGATAAACCCATCTCCAACAAAATTTGGCAGAAATGCTATCGACAGAGTCGTCACCACCTGCAACACCTTCAACCTTGCCACCACCACACGCACATGAACAAATAATGATTTACTCTTTAGGGGTCTGTCTGTATTAAAAAAAAAATTATGTTGTTAGTTTGGACGAAAGAACCAATAGTGCACTACTATAGCACGCCCTTTAGGATTTAAAAAGATAGAGTTTGAAATTAATTACAAAAGAAACATGAGAGTATACTTTTGAATTAATTATTATATCAGATGACTCAAATAGGAAAAGGGGAACAGCCGGTACCTGAGGATTATATGATTTTTTGTTGAGGCAATTTACACCGATCATCTAGACCTTTAGATACCTGTTTTAAATTAGAAATATCGACATATCCACTTATCACGTCAAAGTAACAGGAAAGACATGTCAAAATTTCTGCTAACTATGTCCCAATAAGAATGCAACCATTGATCCTTACAATTACAAAAATAGTGTCGCGTAAAGTTCTCGCTTATAGTGAGCTCTAAAAGAGGTAACAGGTATAATCTTTTCCCCCATTTTAGAGGGCTGATACCAGATAATCATTGATTCTTCAAATTACACCGATACAATACTAGAGAAAAGGAGAAATGTAAAAAAAGTACAAAATCATCACGTTCACATGGGCTTTCTCTTCTTCTGCAACCTCTGTAATTTCCTCCACTTGAGGTAAATCTGGTAAGACAACCCAGTGAAGACCATGACAACACTGCCCCATTGCTTTGTAGACAAGGGGTTCCCACTTAGCAGTGAAGACACCACTATGCTTACAAACTTGCGTGTGGTTGTGATGGTGGTGTTAGTGAGGGAGCCAAACCGGCTTATGGTTAGAAATATGAAATTCTGCCCCACTGCACCACACAAACAAAAGAGGAAAATGTCCCATGCAGCCTCCGGATTCTGCTTGCAGAATTGAACAGCCTCAAATCCACTAGCTTGTGGCCAACCAAACATAAATACCATATTATAAATTGTGCCCCATAAATTCATACCAAGCATTATATTCCAAGCGCTTGTCTTTGGGTACCTGAGCAAAAGAGAGCAATAAGCTCACAAATAGCAGCAATGTCGAGATTGCATGAATAAGAAGCTAGTGCATATCACTAAGATTTTACCAAAGCTAGTGCATATCTGTTACTATGGACAGTATGTCTACTCCAGATATATAACCCAACCAAAAGGGTTCTAAAAGTGCATTGTCTGACTTTAAGGCCAATAAATGGAGTATAGTAAAACTCTTTAGCAAAATACCTTGCCGTAATTGAATCCTGAGTAGCATTTGTGAATCCATCAAAGGTGAGGTTTAAGAAACAGAGTCCATATCCCAGTGGAGCATTTGGGTGTGCCAGCTTGCTTATGGTCTTTGAGCTAGTCTGAGATTAACCGTATTATGAGAGTCAATAGAGGTCAGAGTCCAAAATAGTACCATAAATCAATAAACCTCACCTTCGAAAGTGCAAATACTGATACGCCACCAGCAACAAGAAGAGTACAAACGTACTCAGGTAAAGTGTATCTGATACCATAAACTAGTGCACCCATCAGCATCACTGCATAAAGATAAAGTACTAACCATTACTGCTAGGACCGGGAGATAAAAATAAGCAATTAAATCAACCTACATAGTAAGTTATTGTATCACTATTCCATGCATCCAGGGAAAAAAAACCCTAGAAGCAAAAAGCATAAGCATAAAACACCAATTTTTTCCTTTGTAGCAATATGAAGACAACCCTAGTTTCCAGCTTTCCCCATGAAAATACGAAAATTGTTCCAAGCATTTCTCCCCAATATGTATGTGTAATAGGTGTCACAAGGTTGGCTTAACTGAAATCACACTCCATTCTACTATCTCTTTTGCCCAAATATATTCTGTTGAAGAAGTCATTGAGTTTCTATGGTTGACCTGAATGAAATCTTTACAATGATTTTCTGGAAATCTTCTTCTATGTGGGTCAAAATGTGTGCTTACATTAAATTCCTCTCTTTATTCTTTATTTTTTTTTTCGCCAAATTAACAATTAAATGGCACAACTGGCCCCCAGAATCTGAAGCAACTCTGTTAGACATTACATATATTTGTTTCTCCTAGTGTATCGTAACTCACCTGGAATCATTTTTGAGGATTTCGCCAGGACCTGCAAAAGATAATAACGCATGAGCATTTGCTATCACTAACATTGATATCAAAATTGTCATAGCACCAACTAATGCAACATGTTTTCCACTCCAGCAAACAGAACAGCGGGAAAATGGAAGCACACCGGTAAGAATGTCAAAACCCAATCAAAGTTGCATAATCAGGTGACCATTAGAAAGTCTCAGTTTTATAACTGGAGAATTGCTAATTATAAGATAAAATTCATGGAAAAAAACTCCAAACAATCATGCACTAATTGTATTGTTCAACTGAACTGCTGCACATTCCAGACCCAACAGAAGAAGGCTGCACATTACTTTATACAGTGACAAAATAATTGGTTGTCACGATAAGCCCTAGAGTGCAAAAAGACACTGATAGAAATAGGATTGATGTTGCTTTGAAAAACTTACATCATAAGCAGACAAGTGTGAACAACAGAAGCCACTACACCAAATCCTCCATAATAACATTCAAAAACAAGAACAGATGTTGCGAAAGCTTAAATTTGGGATTTTAAGGGTTTAAACTGAGTGACATTTTTTCACTGAATAGTTGGCCTTCCGGTAAGCAACAAACTTTCACCCAACATTAGTCTTACCAATGGCGAAGCAGGATTAATATAGCTGACCCAAAAATGTTGGTACAAGGCTTCGTTGAAGTCCAAAGATGGAGAGCAAGTGTTAATTGCAAAGAATTCAAACTACCTGTGCAGGGTAACTGATGTACTTTAATGCTTCAATTCCCATTGCAGGACCAATTGTATTTGTAATGCCAGCACTCCAGTAACTCCACCATGGAGCACCACCACTATTACCATTGGACCAAAGCTTTATCACTGTTCAGTAAGCAACTCTAAGATTAATAACTTAGCTACCTCCTAAATGAACAGAAAAGGGAACAAAATGACAAACGAAAATACACACATAACAAAGTTTACTCACATTAAGGGAAAAAAAACCTACATTTTGTGCCAATTTTAAAAATAAGAAAGATAAATGAATTTTACACAACTTACTTATAAATGACCATATCAAACAAACTACATTTTGTGCCAAGTTTAGAAACGCCAGGTGTTCAAATCTCTTCTTGTCAGGGCCAAATCGTTTGGTTGACCTGCCAAACGGAAATGAAGTCAAGATCATATTGCATAAAGTGATCATTTGCCAACCGCACTCAGAAGGTGATTTATAAACAAAGCAAACACTTCTATTTTAACAGTAAAAGGATTATAGCTGAATCGACAATGCAATAAACAATGTTCTATTTAACACAACCGACAACATAAATGAAGTCTCACACAATCCACGCATAAAAGCATCCAAAACAAGGCAATTACATTTGAGTCTATGTGTGTGTTTGTGAGTGTGTATATGTAAGGTATTCAGCAATTGGCAGTGCTACAACTTCAAATTGAACAAATTTTATGCCCTATTTGTTTGCAAATCCAAATTTAGGCAAATAACAAGCAACACAATCTGCGAGACTACAAAATAAGGCACCAATTATGAATGAAGAGAACAAATGAATAGAGCTTCGAAACCGAAATACTTACACGGTCTCTTGAAGAACGCCTTGATATATATAGGCCGACCAAATGCCGGCGACGCAGAAGGCAAGCAACAGAACACGGCGTAGTCCAGCCCCGTGAGACTCCATCACAGACCTCAAATATTGCCGGAACAAGTAGATCCGGCGTGCCACGTAGATTTCCCGGTAAGTTTTCCGAAATAGATCCGATAAAAATGTCAGATCAAATGCGAGAGAGAGAGAGAGAGACGGAAAATGTAACGGTGGATTGTTTGGTATTAACTGCCAATGCGAAAGGAGATGGTGGTTATATATGAGCATGGACTTGAAGCTACGTAGAATTTTCCACGTGGATGAATTCTATTGGTTATATGACCTAATAGAGCGATGCTATTGGTTGGGCAAACGCGGACACTTGATACTCCTGCAACCGGGAAAAAGTTGGCTGGCCTTAAATCCAGTGGGTTGAAATGGGCCAAAAAAAGTGAACCAGAGACTGTGCGTGCATGACCCACAGGCCTGAATCGGACCGGTGAATAAAGGTCAGGGCCAAAATATGACCCAATGGACTGTTAGAATTTTGGGCCATTCCATGAGAACTGGGCCTTTTTCTCCGTAAGGACCATGGGATGGCTCGCCGAAAGCGCAAACCCCATTGCAAGAGCATTTGTACTAACTTTTGGATGGTAATCATTCAACATTAATTGTTCTTGCTGCTTTTTAATTCGGGTGGTGTTAAAGTTTATTCAACGTATACTCAGATCCATTTACAATCGTACGTTCATATATAGCTAGGTTTGTGGCGTTTACAAACATATTTTTAGTTTCTTTTTTTACATTCTAGTTGTCCCAATAAATTATTATAATATTTTCTCGCTCACGAATCAGATTAATATTGAATCTTGTGTAAAAACATTTCTCCACACAAAAGGATAAATCTATGGGTGGTAACCCCAAGTGATGTGTACTGTGTTTAGTCAGTGTTGTATCGATCCATACATGTAACAGATCTAATCGTTCTATTTATTTATTATTCAGACCCGTTAAAATTAAATTAAAATTTTGATGATTCTTGTCAATTTGGTATTAAATTCATATATGATTTCTAAAAAGGATTTTTTTAGGTATGTGTACAATTTTTAGACTTATTTGAGTAAAAGTATATGAATAAGTTGTTTACTCTATTAAATACAATTTTTATAAATTTGTGTTTAGGTACAAAATTCAAATGAATTAAAAACTTTTTTATTTAAACACTTTTCCTTAAAATTATGCAGTCATCATTGATAGTTATTTAAGGAAACAAATATATAAATATTAACAATAGTAATGAGAGGTAAAATAGGGGCATTAATGATTAAAACCCTTCTTCTTCAACAACAAAATTCTATGGCAATGAGATTTGATTAGAATGCCACAAATTACATGTGAATAAACACTGAACTTTTCCAACAAAAAAAAAAGAATTGACTAAGATGTTTTGTTAGAAATTATGTATTGTTCGTTGTTGGGTTGTAGGAAAAAAAAATTTCTTTATTTTTTTTAATGGATGTAACTGTTTTTTATGAGTGTAACTATTTTTTTAATAAATATAATTATTTTTTAATGGGTGTAATTATTTTTTAATAGGTAAAATAATTATAGTCTCATACAATTGTTAAGACGTGATTGTGTAATGATGTCACGATACTAAATAATGCAACTATTTAGTTTATGTAAACAACTGAATGATAAATTGGGTTATTATCATAATTTTTTGTAATTGTTTTGTGTAGCTGTTTTATTTATTAGAACACATGAAGAACTGTTTGTAACTGACTGATATAATTAATTAGTATAATTGTATTGTTATAATGTTAATATAAATAAAGTGAGAGAGAGAGACTATTAGAGAAAATATGCCTCTAGTTTACCTCTCATTACTTGATTGTAACTACAATATATTGAAAAAAATACAAAGGGTTTCAACCCATCAGCTATTCACCGAATGACAATATTTTTATTTTTTAAAAATATGTATTTTAGCTCAAATAAAATTTTGTGTTATATTTTTGCTCAATTAAATCTAAAAAATTATACCGACTTCTTGATCACTCTTCTAAAAAATGTCGTATCTACAAATAAGTCCTCCATTATTGGACCAAGTGGAATTCTAATTAGTCCACCACTTCTAGACTCCATGGACCTTCCTGGCTGTCCACCCACATGGACTTTTTGGCCCAAACCTCTACCGTCAAAAACTGTCATGATAGTTAGTGTGCTTGGAGAATAAACCTAGTCAACTATCGAGCTCATGCTTATACCGACTCTTCTTCCCAATGGTGGGTCCAATTTGTTTATGGATTAGGAATGCAGAGAAATTTGGTCGACTTGGTGGACTATATGCTTCTGCTTTTTGACATGGAAAATGTAAATAAATTTAAAAATTGGCTTAAAAATTTGACTCGATGAATCACTATCGTTAAATATGTAATGAATCTCAGTAAATATTAAAACTAATAATTAAATTAATAATAAATATAACAGTCATATTATCAAATCAATTTTTTTATGTCTGTGTAGACATATTTTCATTCTTTCTGACTTTAATATGTTGGTGGTAAGAGCCCTTGGTGTGATCTTCAAAATACCCATTTGGGCCTTGGGGCTCGGTTATTTCTTCCATGTGAATCAAGTCTATTTATAGCGGAGAGTGTACTTTTGAGTTCATTTGTCAAAAAAAAAGTACAGTTTAACAGGGGAGAGTGGATTTTTGAGTTCATTTGTCAAAAAAAGTTTACGAATTTTTGACATCGAGTCTTTTTTCCATGTAGAAAAGTAAATCGTTTGCTAAAATCAAAAACCAATTAATCCATACACGAAAGTTGATTCTATCAACCATAAAGTCTTCTACAGCTTTTGGGGTGCTTCGTGTTTGGAGGAAAGACTCATTTATTCTTGTGCTAGACGAAGTATGCTCGATGAATACTACAAAATTTTCAACAGAATTATAATAGAGCAGTCTTTTGTCTCAAAAAAAAATAAATATTATATATTTATCAGACACGTGATATTTAAATTCCTCTAAATCTTAACGGACTCTAGTGAGCTACATGCTCACTTGGTTATCTAACTAGTTAATCTCGAACAAGTATTTGTAACCAAAGATAATTTTGAATCGAGGTACAGTAGTTTGGTTTTTAATATCAAACAAAATACTTTACCAGATTATAGATCCAATTTTTTTTTTTTTTATCAGAATTATAGATCCAAACTTAAGTGGCATAATAGTATTACAAACTCTAAAATGCTATTAAAATTCACTTATTTATCTTATGAATCAATTTCGAGTGAATCACAGTCAAGTTTAACTTGACTTGTTTAGGAGAGTCAAAATTTTTACTTCATTAAATTTTTTATTATAGGATGTCCATGTTTGCCCAAATTATTTTTTCGAGTTCAAATACTAGTCAACGTACCCTGAACAAGTTTAGAACAACTCCCCTGAAGATAGGGCTGACAATCAAACTGAGCTTGTCGACTTTATTTTTTTAAACAGGTATAAAAAATTATTCAAACTCAACTCGTTTAGAAAATGAGTCGAGCTCGAGATGAGCACATAACAATTATTTTAAGTATAAACGAGCCAAACTTTGTGAACTCGGGCAGGACCCCTAAAAAATTGTTCAAGTTTAGATTATTTAGAATACGAGCTGAGCTCGAATCGAGTCTTATCTGAGTTGAACTTAAGTAGTCTGACTTAATTATCAGTCCTACCTGAGAAACAAGGGTGACTGATCTTTATGATATATGAGAAATATTGAATTTAAAACCTTCAGATTATTAGTGAATAAACTCAACCGCTAAACCACCGTTCCTAATTACTTTACCTAGTAGTCAGCCTCTAGGAAAAAAAAGAGTCATCCTAATTGAGAGGAACATTCTAGTTTTAAGGAAAGGAATAAATGCATAAGCAACATTCTAGTTTTTCGGCTTAGTACAAGGACTTTAAGACTAGAACTGTTATTGACATTTCATCACCTTCATCGGATGACTTTCTCGGCTGTTCTTATGTTGTTGAGTGTAGACACTAGGCCACCGAAATATGCTCTTATCAATTGACCTTGTATTGACCTAACAGTCTCTCAAGTAGGGACTTGGACCTACAAACTTAATTCAGCAAAAGTGATAGATGGGCCTCACTCTCAGTTAATAATCCCTTCTTTTCCAACAAATTCCATTCACACTTGTAATAATTACTGTAAATTAAGTCGATAAATTAGTTTAAATCTATGTATTACCAATTAAATTTCTGAGATTTTTTTTATTTGACTAATGAGGATAATTGATGTTTAAAGTCTTATCTCGGGCAAGCATAGGAGAGGATGACAGGATTAGTTACTTTTATCTTCAGTAAGCATGCTTGACTTTAATTTTTTTGTCTTCTGCTGGGGTCTACTGGAGTGGAGCTTTTTGCGGGGAATCGGACTGGTGGAGGTTTGGAGATTTTTTTTGGGCCGAAGAAGTTACCGCGAATTGTCCTTTACATCGGGAAAGATTTTAAAATTCTCATTTTATATTTTTAAAATAATTTTTTACATTGCACCTTCAATATATCAAAAATATTATAATATAACATTTATATTATCTTTCTATTAATTGTTTCGTTAGTGTCAATGTGTTAGTTTTTGATCAATGAAAGTTAATAGAAGAGTCATATTGAAATAATTTTAATATATTGAAGGTATGATGTAAAAAATTTAATTTTTGAGAGTATAAAGTGAGTAACTTACAATTTTTAAGGGTGCTAAGTGCAAAAATTCTTTTTTTTTTTTTTTTGGGTGAAGAAATTAGACGTCGGCATAGTGGAGTTTTGTGATTTTTCTTTTTTCACTTTGGAGGAGGGTGGGTTGGCGCAACTGGGCTAGAGTTTTTAGGGGTGGGAGGTGGATTAGTGGAGGGAATGACGGGTAGATTGTTGACCGGGAACAACCCGGTGGGGTGCATGGTTCTCTCTGCTGGAAAAAGGAGGAAAAAGTTTGTTGTAGGAACTCTTTTGAGTGTTTAAGTGTACTTTTAGACAGTCTTTGCATTACACGAGGTATCGCCACTGTAGATATACAGAAGAATATAGTTTTGGTTTCTTTGTACCTTCGAAGTTTTTGATTCCATATTCATACTCACTGGTGAAATTTTTTTTTAAAATAAATATTTTCTTATTACCTTTTTGCACAAGAGTTTTTAGGGTTACTATCAAGTGCCCGAGTTTAACCTTTACAGGAGAATTTTGTAATTCATTTTAGCCATTTGTCGCTCTTTTAAAAATATCTAAAATGGACAAAAGAAATATGTAAAAAGAGTATTAAGACTCAAATTTTACTTATGAAGATGATTCTAGATTATTTGAACTCTATTTTTAGTCGAAAAAATTATCCATTAAGCTACTTTAGTCATTTTAGCCATTTGTTATGAGCTTTTGACTAGGTGGTAGGGCCAATTCAGAAAACTGTAGCATTGACATATCAGTTGTAACCAACACGTTATCTTTTGAGAGGGCCATCTATCTTTTTCAGGAGACGGGTTAAGGAAGGCAAAGATTAGTGTGTATTTCTCTGCGCTTTCTTCTTTGTTTCCTTCCCCATTTCTCTGAGGCTTGTCAATGAGAAAGCCAATATTCTTTTCTTCTGTAGTTTTCTCTGTGTTCCTATTTCTTTTCCCTTTTCTTGTATAAAGTGCTATTAGTTTAATCAAAACCCACCAAACTATATAATGAATGAAAGCAAAGAGAGTTCATAGTTTACTAATCTTCATCATATCTTGAGATTCTGAATTTCTTGACTAGTGGGTGTTCAAGAGTCTCTCCATTTTTCTCTCTTTCTCTCTCTAACTGGGTTGTTTGGACTTTGGGGGTATTATCTGATGGGCAACTGCTTGGGTTCTTCAGCTAGAGTAGATGCAAGCTTGAGCTCCCTCACCACTTCTGGTACAAAATCTCTCTTTCTCTTTCCCTGAATATATGTTATTCAGCCAATCAAAACCCGGAAAAGACTAGAGAAGTAACTATACCTTTAGTATTCAAGCAATTATCTGTTTTTCGACCATGTGAAGAAATTTATAATTGCTTATACCTACAGCAAGATCATAACTTGATTGACTTTAGATTGAATGTTACAAACTGCCCAAATTGAAGTTTATTTGTCTTAAGGAGTAAATTTTGGTGGGTGCTCCCTTTTTTCTCTTTTTAAGTTTTTAGTGGTTGCTGTCTATTTGTGCTTTGTATCCAGAGTTCAGACTTTTCAATACCTTTTCAGATCTATCATCCTATGTTTTTGAGACTAGGTTGTCTTGAAAAATCATGAATTTGATGGCTTTTTTTCTAATCCTTTGCGATGAACAGTGATTTATAAAGAATGGGTTTCAATTTTCAGCAGTATTTATTGTTTAAAGGGTGCAAATTTTAATTGCTTCTGTCGGTATTTTGTTTGTTTATGCTTGGGGATTTCAGTTCATTAATAGATTGTCACTCTTACAAATAATTGATGATTTAATGAAGTAAATGAAATACTAATGGCTTCAGGAAAGTTGGTCTTCGGGCTCAATGTTTCTGACTTTTTCATGCCAATTCATGACTTAATGGTTGACAATAAGCTCATCAAATATATGGCGTCTTAGTTTCAGAGACTATGCCAAACACACTCTGTCTGAGGGACAAAATTTGGGAGGATGTAACGCGCTGGACTCGAATTGTACAATATTGTCCGCTTTGGACTCGGCCCGCACTATTTTAAAACACATTGTGCAATAAAAGTCCAAACTCCAAAGCAACATCCACTTTCACTGGTCGAAGTGAGATTGAGTCATCACAATTCAACCCTCTTAAACACAAACGTCCTTGTTTGGGCCCTGCCTCGACATGGGTGATGTGGACTTCCGGGCCACCACACTAGCTGTCACCGTCCCAAGCCATTGCCCCGCCGATCAGGGTGCACTGAGTAGCTGATACCAACTGTAACTCCCAGGATTTGCATTGTGCAATAGTCCCCTTTGATCTAAGCCCGCACAGCTTTAAAGCGTGTTGTATAATAACGGTCCAACACTCACATTTATGTATCACTCCACATCCACTTCACTAGTCGATATGGGATTGGTCATTACAGAGGAAGATATAATAAGTGGTTGAAGAGATACCTGTAAATTTCATTTCTGTAAACCATGATGTGGAATGTCTGGTTAGTGGTAACCTTTGGGCCAATGAGATAGAAGCAAAGCCTGATGGGTAGTGGATTGGTGGACAGACAGCTTTCCATATTAGAAAGCCACAGGATGTGTTTGGCTTAGTTTGTTTTCGTGCAAAACAGGCCACAAATATCATCTCTTAAGGTCATGCTCACGTTTTATAGTAATGACATGGAATCCAAATTAATTAGGGAAAAAAAAGTTACAATTGTTGACATTCTTCTCTGTGTTGTAAGGACTCTGTATTCGAGTGATACATCTTTATGTAAGCTCCCTTGTGGAAAGGATCTGAAGAACTAATCCAAAGTTTGTGTCATAGATTGCATAATGTTTTAAGTCACTTGTGAAAGCTTGATGTCGTTGCTTAACTAATTTATATAACTGCCAGCTTCAGAAGCCTCAAGAATTGCCAGCAAAACCAGCAGCTCTTTACCTCGTTCCACCTTGACCATTCCATCTTACAAAGAAAAAAGCAGTCCTAGGAGTCTTCCCACTCCAAGATCGGAAAGTGAAATACTGTCATCCCCAAATGTTAAATCCTTTTCGTTCAATGAATTAAGAAATGCGACCAGAAACTTCCGTCCTGACAGTCTTCTTGGCGAAGGAGGATTTGGTTGCGTTTTCAAAGGATGGATTGATGAACATACACTTACTGCTGCAAAGCCTGGATCTGGAATGGTCATTGCTGTCAAGAAGCTTAAACCTGAAGGTTTTCAAGGGCATAAGGAGTGGTTGGTATGTTTCCTTTTTGTCATATTTATCACTTATATTCACTTTTGTTGTCTGGCCCGGTTAATGACTGTCAATACTTTGCAGACTGAAGTTAATTATCTTGGGCAACTTCACCATCCAAATTTGGTAAAACTTATTGGTTATTGCTCAGAGGGTGACAACAGGCTGTTGGTGTATGAGTTCATGCCTAAAGGCAGCTTGGAGAATCATCTTTTCAGGAGTAAGTTTCACGGTCAAATGTACATTTTTTCAGAATGCCCAACTGTTAAGCATCCCTTCTTATTCTATGTTCTTAAAACAATCCTTAATGTAGGCCGTTTCCAGTTGAGACAAGTGCCCCAATATCCTTCCTACCTTTTGTCTACTGTTTGTCATCCCTCTGCCCAGCACTCCCTACCCCCTTCCTCTCTTCCCGCAGAAGTGTGATGGAATTTTAACTATAAAAATTGTCAGAACATCAGTAAAGTGCCCTCAAAATTATCTAAAAGGAGAGTCCTTGGCTGAAACTATGCAGAGTACAGATGGTACATAGCGACCCCTATCTTCCTTACTCCAAATTTGTTAAGAAATCCATGCATTTATTACATTGGCAACATCAAATTCTAATATGGCATTGATGACTTAAAGGAATATAGGCAGTCTCTGCTGGAGGAGCATTTTTCTTCATGTTTTGGCCATCCAAATAGAGTTGGATTGATCACAAAGCTTCATTACAATAACTAAGTTGTGACTCTTATACCATGTTAATGAATGGTCCTGATGACAATATATGTGATTTCAATTGATTTTTTGCTAGATTTCTTTGATTGGCCCTGAGATATTTACAACACATGCACAATTATGGTTACAATGTCATGGCGAGAAGGGTCTTTATATTATTTTCACATGACTAAGGCAACGGGCTGATTTTTTATGCATTTTTTTCACAGGAGGGCCTCAGCCACTTTCTTGGGCAACAAGGATCAAAGTGGCCATCGGTGCAGCTAGAGGCCTCTCTTTCCTGCATGATGCTGAAGAACCAGTCATATATCGTGATTTCAAAGCTGCTAATATCCTCCTAGATGCGGTATGCTGAGTAAAAGATATGCTTTTTTTCTTTGCTTTGGAATTCATAGGGTATAAATGTTGGGATTTCTCACAATTTAAATCCACTAACAACAACACACACAACGAAGTCAAGAATATAAAGCAATAAAGAAACAAGAAAGAACAAGACACAGATTTTACGTGGTTCGGCAATTTGCCTACGTCCACGAAGCTGCAGGGATTTCACTATTGAGAGAGTTGAATACAGAGAGCGGCTGTACGTCCACGATTTACCCTAATCACAAAAACAACAGGGTTTATATGTCCTACGCACTGGGCTGTATAACGGGCCCAAAAAAATTTTCCTCGGGGGCGTTGCCCCCGAACCCCCACGAGGCTTGTCCATGAGCGCTACGGCTTGGGCCTATCGGCCCAAGCTTTCGCTCCATGAACTAAGCCTCAGAAAATTTTTCATTAAAAATCACACAACATTATTTCGGGTCAGGTCGTCATCCGGATCACATATACAAACTAGACTCCATAAAAAAAAACCAACAATAAATTTGATGGAATTGTTCTTGTCAATTATAATACTACGTATTGTAATTAACCAGCCTAGGATGCAGGAATTCAATGCAAAGCTATCTGATTTTGGTTTGGCCAAGGCTGGGCCTACTGGTGATAGGACTCATGTGTCCACTCAAGTAATGGGCACACATGGCTATGCAGCACCAGAATATGTAGCCACAGGTCGTCAATAGCCCATTATACAGTGCTATCTTATTTCAATATGCTGAACTAGCTTCTGTTGATCTGAACATGACATTGACTAAAGCGCTCTCAAATAAACAGGTCGATTGACAGCAAAAAGTGATGTCTACAGCTTTGGGGTTGTTTTGCTAGAACTATTGTCTGGACGACGTGCTATTGATAAATCAAAAGTTGGTATAGAGCAGAATCTTGTGGATTGGGCAAATCCATATTTGGGTAGCAAACGAAAAGTATTTCGGATTATGGACACCAAGTTGGAAGGCCAGTACCCCCAGAAAGGAGCCCATATGGCTGCTACACTTGCTTTGCACTGCCTAAGTACCGAACCTAAGGTCAGGCCACGGATGGCTCAGGTGTTAACGATACTAGAACAGCTTCAAGCCCCCAATCCAGCCAAAGACTCCCAACCAGCACATCAGACTGTTTACAGTCCTGCCTGCAAGTCACCTTTGGGCCAACACAGATCACCTCTGAATCTGACACCGTCAGTTTCCCCCTTGCCATCACACCGGCAATGTCCACGTGTACGATGAGCCTGAGGAATTTATCATTCAGTAGGGTATTTTGTTGTCAATTTTGTTTTTTACTTTCTATCTTTTCTTGTTTATATTCCTATCTTGATGTATGGGCTTATATTTTCACAAAAATAGTACAATCTGCAGAACATAATGTCACCATATATATTCCCTGAGTTTATTAAGCTCCTTCATTGGTAGTAATCATTTTTTTTTCTTGTTTTAACTTGTCTATACCTGATCTGTGATTATTTTTTTCCCAATTCATCTTTGTGATTTGATATGGTCCATTTTAGCCCAACTTGTAAGTATCATTTGCTAAGTGTGTAGAATGTAGGCGCTCGCACCTTTTCTTTTTGAAGGTAATATTCCTCCCCCCCCGCGCGTGGGTGCGTTTGTATATAAAGTAACTGTGGAGGTCGTAAACCTCTTAATTTGGAAGTATTGGCTGGTTTAATGCTCATACCAATATGGCAGAGCATTTGACCATGCTTGAGCGGACATTGGTTGAATCTGGACCCTATTCGTGGGAAATATACAATTTTTTTTGACATTCTTATTGCTTAAAGAACAATTGGAATGTAAGTGAAGCACAATTCTAAGCTCTAAAGCATCTCACATTTGTGACCTACAAGATTAATGAGCTAGATTATATTAGTTATAAGTAATTGAGACCGAAGGCGTGTTTGAGGGTTTGAAGTAATGCTGATTGAGTTCTGATTCCTGCTATTCATCTTCCGCTCAAGCTGTTCCAGACAACTCAACACTTCTGTCATTGTTGGCCGGGATTTTGGATTCATGTCGAGGCACCAGAGTACGATTTTTGCAAATTCACGAGCTTCTTCAATATGAAAGTTCCTTCTGAGTCTCTTATCGATTATACGATGAAGTTTTTGCTTGCTGTTGAGGTTTCTTATTGCCCACTGTGCAAGTTCCCCAGCACCTCCATCTACATGTCTCTTAACTGCAGCAGAGCCAGTGAGGATCTCTAGTAGCACTACTCCAAAACTGTATACATCACTTTTTAGTGTTAAATGGCCTGTCAAATGAAGAACATATCAACCATTGTGGAGCTATGGAATGTCCTCATAGATGAAAAGAACAAAAAATTGATCTGTTTCAAACTATATTGCTTCAGAAAATAGATCGATTAGATAGCCTATTCTCCTCCTCTAAGTGTGCTAATAAATAGAAGCAAACCAAGCATGAGACTGTTTGTGAATTTGTTTGTTCCAAAAGAGTGTTAGGGATCGACTCGAGCAAATGGCCGACTTCAAACATATTGGTCAAGCTTGGGAGGTTAAACAAATTGAGCTCGAGCTTATCTTCAAGTTTAACTCGAGTTCCAATCTCAAGCTCGATGCATTATACATATATATATATATAAATTGAGCTTAAGCTCGAATCATGTATTGAACAAGCTATAAAATGAGAGCGAGTTCGACTTGTCTATAAAATTAGCTTTAAAATTGAGTTCAAGCTCCGTTCATTTAACTAGTTTCTATCCAAACCAATCCCAAGCTCTTTGGGAAAAAAAATTCATTTGCAGCCCTATCCTCCACCTCTAAACAAGGAAAAATAACATAATTTTTATGACTACTGAAGTGTACCTGTTGCTATGTACTCGGGAGCGTAGTAGCCTCGAGTGCCAAGGATCCTGGTAGAGATGTGTGTCTTGTCACCTTGGGGGCCAAACTTAGCTATTCCGAGATCTGAAATCTTGGGAGTGAAGTCCTGCAAATATCACCCCTACTGTGATTTTTTCTTTATTTTTTTTTTCTTCTATCAATGGAACTGCAAAAAACTATAGTTTAGCATTATGGTAGTATGTTGAAGGATATAAAGCTCAGTGCACGAGACTCTTTTGTTAGTACAGAGTTTAAAGAGCGTTAAATATATGTAGACTTATCCTACATGTGCATGCCAATAGATTGTTTCCATGACATCCAAATTATAACTAAGCAACCTTACTGTGGTGTTAAAGACAACATTGACTATAATTATTTATAATGATAAGTATAAATGAGTGAAAACCTCAAGGGATAATTCAAGTGGTAACAGAAATAAGCTATAAATTTAGACGTCATGAGTTCGAATCTTGACAATCCCTTGAAGTCAGGACATGAATACCCTAGTCCGACGTAAATAACTTATCTTTGACCGTATTTAAAAGGGAATTAGTCGAAGTGCGCATAAGTTGATCCGAACACCCCTAATCGTTGAACAGAAAAAACAAACAAGTATGAATGAATGAAACTAACATTGTCAAGAAGAACATTGAATGACTTAACATCGCGATGAATAATTGGACTTCCAAATCTATAAATGACCATAGATAAGTGAAATTAACATCGTCAAAAAGAATACTGGACGACTTAACATCACAATGTATGATTGGCGTTCCATATCACTATGAATGACCATAAATAAAATGAAACTAACATTATCAAGAAGAATATTGGTCGGCTTAATATCGCGATGAATGATTGGCCTTCCAGAACTGTGAAGATACTCCAATCCCTTGGCTGATCCAACAGCAATTTTTATTCTCCTTCTCCAATTTAGCTCTGTATCCCTTTCTGCTTATGTCAAACAACAATTCTTCACTATGGTTCCAGTTAGTAAATGTTCATACCCAAATTACACAGCAATTGGAAATTGTTTCAATGTAAATGTCTAATGCTGCTGGTGCTTATTACCTTTCAAAAGATTGGTTTCCAAGTTTCCCTTAGGCATGTACTCATACACTAAAAATTTGTGCTTAATGTCGGAACAGTAACCTATGAGCTTCACCAGATTTGGATGGTTAAATCTGCTCAAAAATTTTAGTTCATTCTGCAAGAACAACGATATTTCAAAGTTTCAGGTGAACAAGTGAAGAAGTATATATAACACATCGACCCCCATTATACAATATTATCCATTTTAAGTTAGGTCACATAACCATATGATAAGATTCGATTATCATAATCTATCCCCTTAAGCCCAAACATTCTTGTTTCGATCCAACACCACCCTAGTTGATGTGGGTTTTCAAGGCTACTATAGTCTAAAGCTCCTGCCACTAGACCAAAGTTGTTTAGAGTATTTTCGATCCTTATTTTTTTTTAAATCTAAATTTAAATTAGGATAAAAAATTCTTAAAAATATTTTTCAATGCTAGATTCATATCTATATCAAATTAAGAGAGATTTTTTTTTTTGCTCAAATCAAGCGAAACTCAAATTTATACCTAAATCTTTAATTGTGAGATTATCTTCTCATTTTAAATATTCAAAGGTCATAGTCTACCTTCATTTAAATTTAAGTTTATTCTTATTTAAATTTGAATTTTTTTTCTTTTAATTTTAACTTTTTATATTAGAGAGGTTTATATCAAATCAAATTTTTTAAATTTTCTTTTTTTTACTCATATTTAAATAAGAATTTGATATTACATTAGAGATAATCTTAAATGACATCCACATCACTAGGCCAATGGCTTCAATACCAAATGTATAGTCTCAACCATCACTTTGTGACAGTCGTGCACGACTTTAAAACACGTCGGATAATGAAGATGCAAAACTTACGCTCATGACCCGAGAGCAACCAACATGCACGCACACACATACCAACACTCATTCACAGAGAGAGAGAGAGATAGAGAGAGAGAGAGATCCTAGACCTCCCATTCCTCTTGGCCTTGAGCTCCTTCCTTTCTGAGCTTCTTTACTGCAATTGGGTATCCATCGCCTGGTTTTGCAGCATTCATGGTGCAATAATGGATCCATCCTTTATATACCTCGCCGCAGCCACCTCGGCCTAGTAGATTCTTATCACTGAATCTCTGGGTGGCAATCTTCAGAGTATTATAGCAAAAGAAGTTGAGCTTATAGGACTGAAGCACCTGATCAGCTTTCATGCTCATCTTCAAGGAATCATAAGTGCCATATCTCTCATCTTTCTTAAGAAAAAAAAACACAAAATCAACATCACTAAATTGGTAAAAAAAAGTATTCGAGAAACTTCATACCTTTTCGTATATTCAAAGAAGCCGGTCCAGAATGAGAAATTTGAATCTCATCGACTCCTTCAATGAAAGCAAACAAACAATACATTTCATGTCTAAATGGTTTATCTATATGAAGGTTTTCCACAAAGAAGATTCAGGATTGAAAAGTATGATAAATATGCATACCTTTCTTGGTATTTGAAGGAACCAACGAATTTCTCTCCTGCAGTACTGGTTTTGAAGTTTCCCCAGGATGAGAGATTTGAATTCCATTGATTCTTTCTGTAAAACCAAATGATTGAAAATGATCACAACAACAAAATTGGTTTTTTAGCAGCAAACTAACTCGTCGCAAAGGTATAAATTGGGTCCCTAAAAATTTTCAACTACAAACTTATTTCGATTGAAAAATGATCACTATACAAATATGATTTTTAGCAATAAACTAACTCATCCCAAAAATATAAATTGGATCAAACTCAGTTCATTGCCCTTTTGTGGCCTTAGGGTCAACAAAATTCTTTAGAATTTGAAAAATTATAGAAATGAAGTGTAAATCTAAACGTTAGGAATTCAAATTTTAGTAATTTTTTAGAATTAAATTATGAGAAATTTATCTCTTATAAACACCTTAGTTCAGTGGACAAGTAACGAAATTAATCGAGGTGAGCGTAAACTAGCTCAGATATTCTAACTATTAAAAAAAAAAGGTAAAGTATGTAACAAAGAAAAATTACACACCATCCCGTGTGTTTAAAGAGATTGATGAAGATGTCTTCCCAAGTGGTTTAGAAGATTTCCCTTGATTGGGGAAGCGGATCTCATAGACTCCACCTGTGAAATCAAACATATAAAATTAATTGTTTAATTTAATATGTAAATAAATTACTATCCAAAGAACATTTTTACCTTTCTTTGTATGTAAAGAAGATAAATTCTTGTCTCGAAGAGTTTTAGAAACTTTCTGGGGATGAGAAATTTCGATCTCATTGAGCCCTTCCACGTGAAAAACAGTTAAAAATTATAATTTCAGTAATGCATCATCAAATTTCAAGTATTAAATTCTTGCATCAACTGAAAAATATATACTCTTCAGCCCCCATGATAAACCTGTGGGAGGTTGAGCAATGCCAACTGGTTCGTCGGGTTGTTGAAGACACTTCTGAATACAATTTCCCATGGTTAAAACTAATAAACTCATGCAAGAAGAAAGCCAGAAGCATTATGAGGAAGGAGAGTTGGTTATATATACAGTGGTAATAACTATGCAACTTTGTTAAAGTATTTGTGGTGAAGATGACAATGAAAAAACTTAGTAGAGAGTTTTAAAGGAGTATATTCTACTAAACAAGCAGCATTATAGGCGATGTTCATTAGGCTAAAAGTTTGGCAGTATAAGTTATAATAGCGACGAACTATAAACTCAAACGTCTTGATATCGAATCTTCATAACCTCTCGGGGTCAGACATTGAAAAATTTATTCTTTATGAATACTCTAGTTTCGGCATAAATAATCTGTCTTTCACCGGACCTGGGAGGAGATTAATCGAGATGCGTATAAGTTGGTTCAAAGACCCCTCACATGGGATGGCATAATCAGATAAGCACTGGACGGATCAGCTCATCTGATGATTGCAGTTCATTTTAGTTCTAAACTAAGTGTAGGACTAGGATGTTTATGTATCATTTTTTGCAACGGTTTTTTGGATTTTTTGGGAAACAATTAAATTATTAGTTGTTTATTGTTATTGCTGGCCTTTTTGAACATTAATTATATGTGGGGCCAGCTGGGAGATTTTTTAACTATATTTTTGTGTTAACAATCACTAAAATGAAGATATTCCAGGAATCTGTTTTGTTCATTTGATGATAATGGTATGATCTGCTAAAAACAAAAGTGGTTAAACAAGGGATGAACTGGAAATTTGTAGCATCTGAATTCAACTTTGTTGGCTGCGAGTTTAACCGAAGAACGGGTAGCCAGTGGATACATGTATTCGGGATTTACGTGACAGTACTGAGTCCAAAAGATGCATGGTTGGGACAAATACCCGTAAAAAACAACCAAATGTGATTTATCTGGTAATCTTTTCCTTCAGCTGCCTCCTCTTTTGTCTAGGATTGTTTGGGTCAATATGATTACTAGTTAAGATTACAACATATTTCTTGAATGTTTTGCTAGTTCTAATAGTTATGATAATTCTGTTGGGACGGCCTCTAATCTAATTGTGTGTGGAAACACAAACACCAATGTATTTTGGTCTACGTTACACCAACCAAGATCATTTAACCATTAACCTGTAAGACATATTGCTAGTAACAATAATAAGGGAAAATTATACGTAGATCCCTTGAACTCTACCCCTTGTTTCACACTGTCCTCTAAACTCTTCGCTTGCTCACATTGCACCTTAAACTACCGGTCATACTTCTCATGGAAAATCATATCAACAATGGAATCCCATGTTGTTAGGAGATCTGGGATTTCCTTACTTAGCTGAGCGGAATTCTATTTTCACCCTGATTTGTCATGAAAAATTGGACAAAAGCCAATGATTCGAGCAATATGAAACTCAAAACCAATAATTTAACATGCAATGTATGGAAGATAGTTTAGTGGACAATATGAAATGCTGGTGTAGTTTAGGGAGACCTAAGCATAATTTACTCTAATAATAAAGGACTTACAGTGTGAAGTATGAACAAGAAGAAATTGTAAGATGACCCCCATTTTTTTCACTTGGTAGTATCAAATGAGCCCAGGAGTTCCCCCAAACACTTCAGTAGGGAGTAGTATCCTCTAGGCAGAGAAAAGAAAAGCCCCTAGTGAAGTGTTTAAGGGGAACTCTAGGGAACACCTGATCTTCCTTCAATGCTTCTACTTTGTTTGCTTTGGTAAGCCCTTGCCTAGAATCCTCACTATTTATAATGTGTTGTTGCCTTCGCAAATAGTCTAAGTGTTCAGGCTCAGAATAGAGATATTCAACAAGCCAAACCCTAGGAGGATGTACCTAGTCGCGAATTCGGGGTAGATGAAAGGAATAGAATCATAGGTGAGTTGAGTGGTCCTGTAAATCCTATCCTTTTTCATTATGTAGTATCTTTGGCCTCTCATTTTTCAGATTTTCTTGTAAATATAAAGCTCTCTGAATCTCAGAAGTTGGTATTGCAATTTTATGTTTGTTTCATGCACATGTAATGCAAGGTCCAGAAGCAACTTTATGTCAAGTTGATTGCAATGGCAATATTCATGTGGGCGACCTTGATTTCTTGACCAAAACCTAATTTCATCGATGTTAAATAACTAATCTTTACTTAGGCGGTCTTGTTTGTGACGTGTGTTTCCTGGGATCGAATTTCGGAAACATTTTGTGTAAGATAAGTGTTGAGATTTAACAACAATTTAAATCCACTAACAAACACACATAATCGAAGAACAAATCAAGAATATAAAACAATAAAAAACAAGAAAGAACAAGACATAGATTTTACGTGGTTCAGCAATTTTCCTACGTCCACGAAACTGCAGGGATTTCACTATTGAGAGAGTTGAATTACAGAAAGCGGTTGTACAATCTACCATATTAATCCTAATCACCAAAACACCGGGTTTTATATGTCCTACGCACTGAGCTATATAACAGGCCCAAAAAAATTTTCTCGGGGGCGTTGTCCCCAAACCCCCACGAGACTTATCAATGAGTGCTACGACTTGGGCCTATCGGCCCCAAGCCTTCGCTCCATGGACTAAGCCTCAAAAAATTTTTCATTAAAAAATCACACAACATTACTTCGGGTCGAGTTATCATTCAGATCACATATACAAACTAGACTCTACAAAAAACCAACAATAAGATTGCACATATTTGACTCTCTCAAGTTCTTGCACTTCGTAGTGAAAAGAATCTTAGCTTGTACACTGAACTATGATTATGAACAATAATTATCATTACTTAAAACTAGTTAAGCGGAGTCTAAGATACCATGGAGTAGTGCATAAGCATATGGACTTAGGTAAAATGTACTTGTGTCCATAACCTAATGGCTCTCAATCTAAAAAGTAGGGGTGTCAATTTTTGACTTGAACACAAACCTGACTCGAATCGAATCCGACATGAACCCGAAAATAACACGATTAGTTGACACGAGTAATAAATAAGTCAAATTAAGGTTTTATACGAATAACACGATTAATGAGTACTGTAGATTGAAAATAATTATTTAATGAGTATTGTAGATCGAAAATAAGAATTTTATAATTTTTTAAATAGTATTATATTAGTTATTGTCAAATTAAATAATTTTTTATTAACACGAATATTGACACAAACCCGACACATACCAAAAGTGATACGACACAAAAATAACACGATCGAAAGTGAGACGACACAAAACTGATATGACACGACACGACACGATTGACACCGCTACTGAAAAAGATAGAACTTAGAGATGAAAGAATTGAGAGGGAGAGGAACTTTTGACCACTTCCCAAATTATATTCTCTACCCCTCATCTGACATATAATTCTGACCAGGTTCAATCATCGATTTCTGAACATTCGATTACTTTCGTATCTCTTTCCTCTCAAATTGCTATATGCACTTGTAGAGATCACACCATTTCTAAACTGAAATAAACATACAGACTAATACAATACGTATAGCAGAAGACTGCATGACAAATTTAAACTATTGAAAACAGAGTTGATCGGGTGCCAATTAAGGTTGATCCTAGGTGACATCAACCCCATGACACTGGTTGATGTGTTTTTGGTACTTGTTCTGCACTAATTCATGTTTCTATGTTTTAAGTCTATGTATCGTTACTCATAATATTAACAATGTATTACTTTATGAAAAATTTCAGTGGTTAATAACAACTTTTCTTGCTGTTGATATTTATTGGAGGGATAAAGGCTAACTTTGCTGATGATAGTGTGACTTTATTATGTTGATATTATACGAGAGTAGTACTAGGATGGGTGATCTCCTGGAAAGTCAAGCCATCACAATCGATAATAATATGCGGTTAGAAGATGTGACACTCTTGTTACATTCAGCTCCACCCTTGTAGTTGGGGGAATACTTGGTCCGAACCTACCTCGACTTTGATATTCTCAATAAGTGACCAACACAACTGGTAGGGTTGTGCAATTTCTAACTTGATCTAGTACCATTTGTCACGTTCGTGTAATTCAAAAGCTTAAGTTATTAAGTGAAAAGCCGACTAAAATCTTAAAACTCCATGTCACCCCTTACTCAATTGATGTAGAGCATGACATTGCATGTTATTCTCTATGTATACATACGTATTAGTTATTATTGAATTATATCTATTGATATGTGTAAGAAATATTATGAACATATTATCATTTGTGTAAGATATATCACATATTTCATGTGGTTATAGAGTCAATTATGAAGAGGTATGATGATTGAGATAGGCAATTTTTATGTCAATTACTAGAGTGAGAAATCATGACAAAATTAGAAAAACTAGGAAAACAGAAAATAAGAAGAAGAAAAGAAACAGAACCAACTAGAAACTGACTCTTGACATTCATAAAAGATTATGAAAATAGAACAAACTTCCTGTAAATGAACCGAATTCGAGCTTGGGCTTATGTTCGAAATTAAACTCAAGTTCAGGGTCATGTGAAGATTAAATTTGGCTTGCTCATACAAATGAATAGTAATTTATTCCATAATATCACACATTTATTCTACACAAATTGTATCTAACTTCAAACTGAGGGCCAAATAAAAATACTAATTAATTAAAGTTGTCAAAACTATAAAGGGTCAAATAATAAATCCCAAAAAATCAATACACAAGGCGAACTAATTATCATCGCGCTTAAATGACCTCTAAAATTGAATTTGAACTCAATCCATTTGATTAGTGCAAGTAGGGTAATCAAGCAGGCCAGTGATGCACTTGATAGAGCTAACACAAATGTAAACAGATCCATCTTCTTCAAAATAAGCTGAGTAATGAAGAGATTCAGTGGATTCTGGATTTTCATAAACTTCATAGTTATTAGAAGCCCTTATAAGAACAGGTTGCAGTAATCTAGCCATTTGGTAGATTTTTCTTGTCATGCATGTGTTTTTAGGGCAATGTTATATGTTAGCCATTAGATTAATAATCAGTTACAAGACTCTCAACATTAAATAAAGTCTATTGTGATCATCGAATAAAGTTTGTCAAGTTTGGTACAATATCATTGTTGGAATTTTCAATTAATAACAAAATATATTCTGTCGAAGATCTTCAAACAATATTTATTGAAGAATGTAAATTTTGATTCTCTTTACAATATTTTTCTTCAATTTCTTTCAATAGTAATTGATAATCGTGATTACCTTATAGATATCCAATAGAATTAGAAGGATACAGGCACACAAGTTTACTCTAGATTAGGTCCCCAAATTAAGTTCAAATAGTATTTTCCTTACTTGAAATGGTCGTACTTGCCCATTTGACAATTGAATATGGTACCTTCCTTTGGAATAGTTCAGAGTCCTCGTCGAACAAGCATGCATGACCATTTCAAGTAAACTTTTTTTTTTTTTTGGGATAGCATCGCAAGAGTACTCCAACACGACATCACACTATGAGGAGATTAAACCCGATACATCCAATGCCACACAAAATAAGAACAAATTATAAACTCAGACGTAATGAGTTTAAAAGTTGACAATTTTCTTAAAGTCCGGCTATGAATGATTTATTCTTTATTGATTTTTTAACTCGGACATAGATGCTCTATTTTTGACCGAACAAAAAAGATGATTAGTTGATGTATGCATAAATTGATTCGAACACTTTGACCGTGATATTAAAAAAAAATCTAATGCCACAACCCTGATGGACGTCAGGTCCAATTTAAAGTAAACTTAGCTCAAAGGGAATCATTAGACAAAGAGGCACTGTCATCTTTGAATAGAATTTTCTAAAGAGTAGACCAACTACTTCAACATTTTCAAATATATATTCGACTGTTCATGCCAAATGATGATGAGCAGCATATATCTCAATCAACATTTATTTATTTGCAACAAAGTGATGAAGTTTTTTTTTTTTTTTAAAAGTATATTGAATTAATTTTCAAATGTATACAAACATTGTAAATCTGTACCAATGCAAAAAAACAAATATGATAGTTGAAATATCCAAACCAATTCTAAAAAATATATTCTTTGTCTGGTCTGCCTCAAAAAATGCAAATAGTAATTCTACAAACCTGTTTAATCAGTGTTTTGAATCCTTTTTTAAGTGGTTTAGCTACCATGTGAACTCAAATACGATTGTAAATAAGTTTGATAATTTTCAAAATATCAAATACATTTAACGAAATAAATAAAATTAATACTGACTAATACTTAACACAACACGACATTGTCATCATCCTTGGTGCCGTGTGTGTATATTGTAGAATATATTCTCAACTTGCCAATCCATGGCTTTTACATTCATCAGAATCAATCTTGTCTCTCTAGTCATCCTTCTCTGTTGGTTTATAGCAGTGGACAATACAGTAGCAGAAGTAAGAAGTCCTTCTCCCTCAATCCACTCATCTCTCTTGCTTTTATCTCATTACTGTATTATTTCTAAAGCTTAGCGTTTTGTAGTTTTTTTTTTAACTATAACTGGTCTCTTTATGGCTTAATTCAGTGGTTTAATTATGGCGGCAACATAACTAACCGGGGGATTGCTGATCAACCCAACAGACATATCTGCAACACCAGCGGTGGCAAATGGGGCAGTGTACTTCCCATCATGGAATGGATATTTGTATGCAGTCAATGCCTTCAATGGTACTCTTATATGGAAGCAAAACGTCGGCGAGTTAACTGGGTTGCCGGGAACCGGGACTGTGGTGAACGTGTCCGGTGTCTAGAGCCACTCCGACGGTGGCCGGAAACCTTTTTTATAGTCGGAATTTATGGACCTGCGGTGGTGATTGCCGTCTCACGGTGGACTGGAGAGCTTGTTTGGTCGACTCGGATTGACCCGCGTCCTCTAGTTCTCGTCACTGCTTCTGGAACAATACACTTAGGGTTTGCTTTCTCTCTCCTATCCTTCTTTCATCCTTTTAAAAGTTGAGTAATGTTATTAGAATCTAATTTATTGACTTAATTTGCTGACTTAATTTACTATAATCTTTGGATTAATTGTAGGGCCCATCAAACATTGAAACTTAATATTGATCCAATAGTTCTACTATAACTACATTATTATGTTAATAAATTAAGTCAAATTTTAGATTCAAATAGTATTACTCTTAAACGTTTACATATGATAATAGTTCTTGGTGAGTTTTCGTTGTTGTATTTACTGTGGTAGGCATTGGTGAAGTTTTTTATATTTAAAAAAAATTAAACAATTTAGTAAAAATAAGGGTAAATATCATTAATCGTTATTAAAATTGACATCCAAGTTCAATTGATTCTTGAACTTTTAATTATTTCAATT